CCCGATGCGGGACTCGATCCAGGGACTCCAGGATCATGACCTGAGCCGAAGGCAGTCGCTTAACCAACTGAGCCACCCAGGCGCCCTGTTTTTGTTTTTTCAATGTCTGTTTCTTCTATAGAAGGATTTCAAGGTGAACATCTTGCCTACTCCTAGGCAAAAGGAAGGGATATCTGTTCTCTCCTACCCACACCAGCCCCAAGATGCTGTTGCAGCTTGCCTCAGGAGAGCGTAGAGGGTTTGGCTGAGGCCAGGTCCATTCTCTCTGAAGGACTCTTCCAGCCTCAGGAATCCCTTGGCTTCCCAAAGCTGCTCTCCACAGTTAGGCCTGGTCCTAGTGCCTGGTGACCGAGCCAGACCTTGCAGGAACCTCACCCTCTCTCTGGAGTCCCACCCTCTTTGGACAGTGACTGCTTCACGTTCCCCCAGCCTGTGGTCCCCTTATTGGTGCTCATCTTCACACCTGTGGGTTTGGAGTACCCAGCCAGGTTCTGGGCTTTGTCCTTCCGAATCCTCAGGCCCACATGGTGGTTCAGAGAGGTACTGAGCCTGGTTGTCTGGGAGCGGTGGGAAAAGGTGGCTGTAATGTTGCTTCCAGCTGAGGCTCATCTAGGCCCCAGGAGCCCCTATAAAAACCTTACTTGCTGCCCAGGCAGGAGGTGGCACTCCAGGCTGGGCTGCCCTGGATTTCACTCAGACTTCGTGTAAGGGGAGGGCCAGGGAAGGAGAGTCACACTGTGACCCTGAGTCCTGAGCCCTTCCCTTGTCCCCTGCCCACGTCCCTCATCTTTCAGGTGGCTTTTCTCTCCCTCTTACACTCAAGCTTAGACTTTTGGTTTTCTGCTTCCTGGGTCAAAGTTAACCTCCTTCTCTTAATCTCTGTGAAGGAAGGGGAATCGGTCACCCCCCACCCCTCCTCCCCAAAGTAGGTTTAAGGTCTAGGAGGACCCCAGCAGGGCTTGGCAGAAGGCAGCTGGTGAGCTGGGCATCAGTGTCACCTAGGACCTGGTGGGGCTCGGAGAGCAGGGCGAGGTGGGTGGCAGGAGGGCTGAGATCCTCTTTAGACGCCCAGAGACTCTTGGGGGTTTCAGGTGGTCCCAGTGGAGCCCCCCCGGGGTGTGTCCCAGCCTTACAGCCTCTCTGCTCCCCTCTTCAGAAACACGGCCGGGGCCAGGTGCTGTTTGACCTGGTCTGTGAGCACCTCAACCTCCTGGAGAAGGACTACTTCGGCCTGACCTTCTGTGACGCCGACAGCCAGAAGGTATCTGTGGTGGTGGGCAGGGTTGGCAGGGGAGGCCTGCTGTCGGGGAGACCTCTTGTCTTAGGCCCCCCTAGTCCTGACTGCATCCCACGCCTTCCGTCGGTCCTCAGATCCTCATTAGGCACCTTCTGTTTGCACATAGCCAAGGTTCAGCCAGCCCTATCTGTCTCAGTTCTCTGTCTCTACCCCTCCCACCTAGACCTTTCTTGGCGACCTGCCAGTCACCCCCCAGATGGGTGACTGGAGAGCCACAGCCTGGCTTCCTGGGGGAACTGAGACACTTACTGCAGCGCCTCTTTTCCACCCCTCGGGAGAACCCTGTCTGGGTTTCCTCCTTCCCACTGGTCCCACTGCAGCTGCCCACCCAGCTGCCTCAGGGCGGTGCCAGCCCCAGGCCCAGGGGCCCAAACCCTGTGGGGAATCCTGGCCTCGGTCCCTCCCCTCCCAGCTCCAAAGGGCCTGGACAGCTCAGCCTGAGAAGGGTGTTCCCCGCCAGGGGCTGTTGACAGGCTCTTTCGGGATGTCTCTGTCTCATAGCCCTATCTGGCCCTCTCCTCCATCTTCCCTCTAAAGAACCCTGTCTTCTCTTTCAGAACTGGCTGGACCCCTCCAAGGAAATCAAGAAGCAGATCCGGAGTGAGTGGCCTGTTGTGGTTGGGAATGTTGTGGAAGGGAGGGTGGGGGCTCCAGGCTGCAGGAGCCCCAGTTATGCTCTTCCCTCTTCCTTGGGAAGTGCATTCGGACCCATGAGTTCACTTGCTCTGCACAGCAGATCTGGGGGAAGGCAGGGCATTGTCTTCTAAATGAAAACCTGAAGGAGGGACAAGAGAAATGACCATCTAGAGTCACATAGCAGGTTAGCGGAGGAATCATAGATGCATTCAGGATGGCAGCTCTAGAAGGGACCTGCAGAATCATCTAGGACAAGGGGACATATTGATGGCCTGCAGACAGCCTCCTTCCAGTCCAATGGGTGTAGACTTCTGTGATCGGTGACCCTTGACTCAGCTCAGAATCCTCTTCCGTACAGCGCTGCAGACCACTGCCCACGGATAGGAGGTAACATGTTAGGGAAAAGCAAGGCCTGTGCTGGTCTGAGTCATCTTCTCTATTTAACAATGGGGTGACTGTAGGCCCAGAGAGAGGCGGTTGCTTACCTAAAGTCACAGAGTGAACTGTTGGCCAAGCCAGATCTTTAGCCTTGGCCTCCCAACACCATCCTGCTCTCTTTTCAAGGCCTGGAGTGAAGAGACAACCTGTCCTTTCTGGCCCAGAGAGGAAAGGCATATTGCGAGGGGTGGAGCAGCCTTCTAATGGCAGAAGGGGGGAGGTAGGTGGCCTGAGCCAGGGGGCATATAGTGGGTGGAGACCTGGAGCCTAGAAGCAGACATGCCTCCACTGGGAGCCCCTCCCCCTTGGCTGTGCTTGGACTCCCTGGTCCCCAGGGCTGGAAAGCAGAGCCTGTTGCCATGACAACAGGCAGCTGGGCCCAGGGATGCTAGCTGACTCTCCGGGAGGGGCTGGAGGGATTCTTCCTGGAGGCTCCTGTCAGTTGAAGACAAAGAGGCAGGCACACAGACAGAGCCCGCTCCTCTGGGCCTGACAGGGTCCTAGGCCTGGGCTTCGGGCTGTCCCTAGGAGTCGCGGCCCAGCTGGGAGGCCCGCCTCTCATGCCTGAAAGAATTGGAACACATACAGACAGCTGAGTGTGCAGTTGAGGAGGACTGGGAACTTGGGAAGGAGAAGCAGACAGCAGAATCCTTAGAGCTCAGCATCTTTCCCCAGAGCAGGGAGTTGGTCCCCTATCTCTGCGGCCCCGGCCAGCACAGCCCGGGCGCGGGGAATGGTTGCTGCTTGTGGCCACCTCCACTCACGGAGGAGCAGGCCTGCCCCCTTCAGCAGAGCCACAGTCTCCGTCCCTACCCCTGGGACTTCTACCCATTCATCTTTGTTCTGCCTTCTGGGGCCCTATGGAACAATTTTTTTTTTTAAGATTTTATTTTTAAGTAATCTCTACACCCAGCGTGGGGCTCAAACCCACAGCCCCGAGATCCAGAGTCACATGTTTCACTGACTGAGCCAGCCGGCCACCCCACCACTGTTTGCTCCTTTCTTTGTGACAGCCCCTCAGCCTCCTGAAGGAGGCGCCACCCTGTGCCCTGGGCTTCAGAGCTGGGTCTGTTTTCTCCCAAATCTCGGTGCCCATCACGAGGGCACTGGGGGCACCTCTCTGGGCTCCTGCTTCTCGTTGGCAAGTAGATTAGTGATCCATGCCTCACAAGGCGAGGCTGCCAGTTATGTGTGGACAGCACCAGGCACATAGTAGGTGCTTTCCTGAGGTAGTCTGGTGTGATGGTTGAAAGACAGTCACGGGAGCCAGACTGCCTGGATTTGAATCCGGACTCCAAGACTACTTACCTTTAGGGTGGTTGTGCAGGCTAAGTGAGCTGTTCTGTGTACAGCACCTAGAATGGTGCCTACACATAGCAGCGCCCGGTACATATTATCTATTACTATTATTATTACTGCTGCTACTACTCCTGAGACAAGGATTGTTCTCCTTGAGGCTGCCTTTTCCAAGGAGTCAGCTGTGGTCAGGAGCCCGGGTTCTGGGGTCAGATGACCAGAGGTTACATCCCCATTCTCCACCGCTGACTAGCTCAGCGATCCCAGGAGGGTGACTTACCCCCTCCGAATCTTCATCTATAAAAGGAAAGGTTTACCTCAGGATCATCATGAAGATCAGACTCCTCCGTGTGCACATAAAGTTCCTAGCAAGTGAAATGACCAGCACCTAGTAAGTGCTAGAGATGCTACAGCTGTATGGGGAAGGTGGTGATGACCATAGGGACAAGGACGGTAGTGACCGCATGGCCTCCAGCCCTTGGTGACCATGGTCCTGCCCTGGCTGGGCCTTGCAGAGCCCCAGGGGTGGTCTGCCCATTGTTCTAGATTGCAGCCTTTCCCCAAGGCCTCCTCTCTCTCATGTGGTCATCCCTTCTCTTGGCTTGCGGAGCTCGTTTCCAGCTAAAGCCCCAACCTTTATTTCTCTCTGTACCTACGTGTGTACCCTTGATTGTTTGTATCTCAGGGTGAGGTAAACATTTATCCCTGTGAAATACCCTTTGCTACTTTCCACTCATTACATTTGCCTTTTAGGTCTTGCTTATAACCCCATTCTGCCATCTGAGATGGAGCCGACCCCACATAGGGCAGAGTCTTACCAAGGGTGTTCCTAGGAACCATAATCTGGCAGGATGCCCCATGAGAAATGGACACAGCAGGTCAAATAAGTTTGGGAAACCCCTGACTATTTGCATGTCCCCTTTAGAGGGCTGCAGTTTGCAATGGCACGGTGGGGGCTTCGAGAAGTACAAAGTTAGGGAACCCATTTATTTATTTATTTATTTATTTATTTATTTATATTTATTTATTTTCAGATTTGTTTATTTTAGAGGGGGGAGAGGCAGGGAGAGAGGGAGAGAGAGAATCTCAAGCAGATTCCCCACTGAGCATGGAGTCTGACGTGGGGCTCAATCCCAGGGCCCTGAAATCATGACCTGAGCTGAAACCAAGAGCCAGACACTCAGCTGACTGAGTCACCCAGGGACCCCAGGGAACCCACTGAATGTGACTTGTTTTCTTCCTGTGAACATCCCGTGGCATAGACTTTGGTGTGGAGGAGGGAGCACGAGCTCTGGAGCCAGGAGGCTGGGGTCTGAACCCCAGCATTGCTGCTTCCTAGCTGAGTGATCTTGGTCTGGCCACTTTATGGCCTGGGCCTCAGCGTCCTCATTTGCAAAATGGGGATGATCATCAGACTTACTCATAGGGTTGTTGCAAGGTTTACTGAAGTGATGTTCGTGATGACGAGTAGGCCTGGCATGCACCACTGTTTTTCTTTCTTTCCACCTTCCTTCCTGTTGCTATGTCACAAGTCTTTCAACTTTCACAGTCTCCTCATCTTTCAAGTGGGAATATTATTTCAGGCTTCCTGACTGGATTGTCCTGGAATTATAGATATGAGAAAACCCTGAGGAATTGCCCATGGGATGGTGCATCCGGGCCACCCACTGGGGTGATGGGGCCTCTCTGATTGTTCCCCTATTTACTCCTCTCAGGCAGCCCTTGGAATTTTGCCTTCACAGTCAAGTTCTACCCCCCTGACCCTGCCCAGCTGACAGAAGACATCACAAGGTGAGGGCTGTGGAGGGGGCGTGGGCGTGCTGGCCATGTGACTAGGAATGAGGACACCTGGGCCTGGTAGGCACGGGGCAGTACGTGAGGACAGTTGCAAACTCAGATGCCCAGCGAGGCCAGGCAGACAGCATCGACAAAGGAAGCTGACTCAGCGCAAGAGGAGGTGGCGCAAACACAGCGGTCAGTGACAGCTGACCCTCCCCTTCGGAGAGGGGAGGCTTCCCAGGCAGCATCGGGACCCATTTCATTGATTGGAATTGAAATTCAAGAGGACACGCGCCACCTCAAACAATTGCCGTTCGGCTCCAGCCATCCCTGCTATGTGGGAACTGGGCCCCTTGTTGAAGTGAAGTGAGAGATTTGACAGTAAAATCCACAATTTTTAAATATGGGCAACTAATTCAGACTTTTTAAGAACATGGTGGAGGCCATCTCTGGTTGGGACAAGCCAAACACGTCACGTTCTGAGCGGAGCACCATTTTACTTAGGGGATAAGGAGGGAGTAGAGCGCAGACGCCTTTGCAGGGAGGAATTTGGTCCCACATGCTGCCCTGGGTACCTGACAGGCATGTAAGGGTCAAATTAGACCGTAACCCCCTGGCCCCCCATGGAGGCAAGCCTGGGCTGCTGGGATGAACATGGATTGTGTGTACAGTCTCATTGTGCCTCAGGGCCAGTAAATAACGTGGCTTGAAGGGTGGAAGGGGTGCAAAGCATTCTCGAGAATGAGAACTTCTGTGGGGCTCATCCTGCCTCTGGAATCAGAACAGGGAGAGGCCCTTCTCTTTATCTAAGCCCCTTCCAAAGAGAGAGTCTCACTTCATGATATCCGGGGGCTGTGTCATCCATGTGCGGGGCCCTACATGCCACCAACAGTAAGATGTGGGCTTGGAGTTATTCCTGCAGCAGGGGAAGGGCTCCTAAGCCAGCCTCTCTCTCTCCTGTTGGGTCCCTCCTGAATGTTGGCTGCCTGTTTACCACGCAACGGGCCGCAGTCACGATGCCGACTCTGGCCTTGGGGGATAATACAGATGTCCATGGGATAGATCAGACCTGAAGCCTTGGCCTCATTAGCCCTGCTCTAACCCCTAGGGTCATCTTGGATCCAAGATTCAGCAACAGGGTCTCAACTTCCTTTCCAGGAGGGCTGAGAGCTGTAGACCGGCTTAATCCCCATCCCTCTGGTCTTACCCACTGGTATCTTTCCTCTTTGTGCTAGACCCTGGGCATTGGGCTTCTAGGGACACAGGAGGGAAATCAGCCCTGCTTAGCATGGATGACCTCAGGGAAGGGGGTGGTAGTAGCAGCTGATTTAGTCGAAAATATCCAGGCCCCAAATAAACTGGTCAGAATGACAAATTGATTGAAATGAAATATTGGTCAGGGTGTTTGGCAGTGATTTTCGAATTTTTAGACTTGAACAAGATGCCCTTAAGCCCACCCTTGGTGCCCATGATGTTTGAGCCGCACTGATTCTGAGCCTACGCCTTCGCCCTGAGCACGCACTGAGGCCGCACGTACTTTTTGCCAGAGCTTCATGTCATGGAGTACTAAAAATTATACTGAGTAAAAAGCACTTAAAAGGAAAAGAAATAGGCAATTGGAAGCAATGGTGAAACATGGCAAAATGGGCAGGGAGGCATCACTGGCTGAGGATGAACTGAAACTTTTTTTTTTTAATGCAGTAACCGAAAAAGCAATTAAAAAATGGTTTAAAATGGATCTAAAAATTATAAAATCCAAGTGTGCATAAAGTTATAAAAAATAATATCCTTGTGGTTGGAGATGTTTCTTTCTTTTTTTTTTTTTTTAAGATTTTATCTATTTATTTGACAGAGAGAGACACAGCGAGAGAGGGAACACAAGCAGGGGGAGTGGGAGAGGGAGAAGCAGGCTTCCTGCCGAGCAGGGAGCCCGACGCGGGGCTCGATCCCAGGACCCTGGGATCATGACCTGAGCCGAAGGCAGACGCTTAACGACTGAGCCACCCAGGCTCCCCTGGAGATGTTTCTTTTAAAGCAATTTGTTTTTAGACAATTCACTTAGAGCTGGAGGCAAAATTAAAAGGTTTTGAGAAAACATTGGTGACCAGGTTTGTCCTCACTGTAGAATGTGGTGCAGAAGTTAAAATGAATGAGGTCAAGTTGTTTGTGCTGATATGGAAGGGCACTAGGTGCATGAAAAAGCAAGCTGGAGAGTAAGATGTGCCATTTGATCCTGTGTACATGTTAAAAACACCCACGAATCAAAACACGTGCATTTCTGTACCATGGGGGAAAAAAGGTCAAAACACCACCTGGATAATAGGGGTGACCTCTAGGAGAGGAGACTCGGGCTGAGAATGGACGTTGAGAGGAAATTTAGAATCACCTCTAAATAACGTTTGCATTTGTTCCACAATAAGAATATAGTTAATTGTATGATTAAAAATACATGACATTAAAAAAAATGGCTAACCAGCAAAGTAGTCCTACTTAGCTTGAAAATGAGTTAGAAATTTCAAATGTTCCCACAGTAGGAAAAATCCCTCAAAGTTAGAAATTAACAAAATGCTGAAAGGCACGTGGAATGGGACAAAACCGTCTTTTGGACACACCCAAATCATCGACACCTGAAATGACAGTGTCAGGAACGTTCCTAGTCTACTGAGCTGAGTGTTGGTGGTTTGGTTCTGATGGATGGGTGGGCAGCGGTGCTGGGGGCATCTAGGGAGGGAGTGGGGCCCGTGCCCATGGCCACTCTCCCCTCTCTCCAGATACTATCTGTGCCTGCAGCTGAGGGCGGACATCATCACGGGCCGGCTGCCATGCTCCTTCGTCACACATGCCCTGCTGGGTTCCTACGCCGTGCAGGCGGAGCTGGGCGACTATGACGCCGAGGAGCACGTAGGCAACTATGTCAGCGAGCTCCGCTTCGCCCCCAACCAGACCCGGGAACTGGAGGAGAGGATCATGGAACTGCACAAGACATACAGGTGAGGGGCCTCTGCCCAGGGCCTCCGCTGGCTTCTCAGCCGTCGACTAGGGCCCCAGGTGCTGGGCTGTAAGTCCCCCACCTGACTCTGGCCCTGACCGGACCAGAGGTGCATCTAAGAGCCAGTCATCTCAGCCCACTGGGTCTCTATCAAATGGGAATGGTAGTCACTAGCTGTCTCGGTCTTGGTGTAAAACTCAAAAGTTTGCCCTCTGCAGCCGGACTGCCTGGGTTCACATTCTTGGCTCTGCCACTTTCTAACCAGGGGATCTGGGCGGGTCATTTCAGTTCCTCATCTGTTCAGTGTAGGAGCTAATAGAACCTGCCTTGGCACTGTTAGGGGCTACATGGCACATAGTACAGAGACACCACGTATTTATTGTTGCTCTGTGATCTTGGGGGTTGAATAGTTGATTGTGCAACAGAAAGCGCCTTATTCTCGGAGTTAGAAGATAACTAACCTGATGGGTCATCATAGCGCTGACTATTTAACTTATCAGCCCCATTTTTCACTTGCACGTGGTCGGATTTAGATGATCTGTCTGTCTCAGCTGTTGGTATTTGGGGCAGGAGAATTCATTGTGCGGGATGTCTGGCATCCCCGGGCTCCAGGCATTAAATGCCCCTAACACCCTCTCAGTCATCGTAATAACCAAAATGCCCCCTCCCCCATTCCCAAATGCCACTGTGAGGTTGGTACCATCCCTGGGTGGGGGTGGGGGGTTCCCCTGGAACTAAATGGTCTCTAGGATCCCTTCAAGTGGGAAGTGCTTTGGGCTCTGAGTCCAGGGTCGTTATGGGCACCCAACGTGACCAATGATGTGAAGCGCGTCACAAGCTGTGAAGTGTGTGCATGTGAGGGGGTGGGTATGGTGAAGTTATCTGATCGCTAATGAGGATGGGAGGCCTGAGGGGGGTTGGGTCTGGGGAGGAAGCTGAGGGCCAGATGTGGAGGGATCGTGTACAGGGGGAAGAGAACCTGCTGGGGTGTGACAGAAGGCTAGGTCCCCAGGGGCAAGTGTGTCCCTCAGAGACTCTGCACACCAACTCTGACTGGTTAGCAGCGGCTGTTGTCGTTCTGCGTTGAGCAGGACATTGAAACCATTCGGCTGGTTAGCACTGTCGGCCGGGGCTCAGGAATAGGGAGGGATGGCCCACCTGCCGTCTGTATGCCGTCCCTGCCATAGGTAGCAAGATGTGGGAGGGATTTGCAAGAGTCCTAATAACTCAGAGCAAGAAGCTCATATATGGGTGGAGAAAGGCAATGGCCATCCCTTTAGCTTTTACAGCTCTTTTGACACTGAAAGCACATGGACACCTGGTGTCCAGGCATCTCCCGCGGCCGCTCATGGAGGCAGACAGAGCAGAGGACCCCGAGGCCCAGGGGATATGACACAGATGTAAGGGAAGAGGTTGGGAAGGAGCACATACTCTGGAGCCACGTTGTCTGGATTCAAGTCCCGACTCTGCTCCTGAATAGTTGTGTGGCCTGAGACGAGTCATTCAGCCTCTCCATGCTGGTTTCTCTATAAAGTGGGAATAATGAGGACACCGACCTTACACCGACCTCACTGTTAGGAGGATTCGGTGAGTTCATGCCCGTGAAGGGTTTGGAACTGTGACCAGCACATCATGCTCACTAAATGTTTGCTGTGGCTTAAATGGAAGATGTACGGTTCCCCGGCAGCCGAAACAAAGAAGGAACTTGATGAATTACGTAACTCTCTTGTCAGAAAGGAGAATGTGCACCTGCTCCTCAGGGGGGGGATTAAGTGGTTTCTGATAGAAAATTCTGAGAGAAGTGCCTTACGTGGGTGATCATTTCGGAGCCCCTGGGTGATTGTAACGAACCATGGCTTCCACGATGGCTTTGCAGCCGCAGAGAATTAGAATCTATGGCTCACATTGAATTCTGTGGCAGAATGAAGCAGAAATTCCGGCTCCCAGCTCATCCCTTAAATACTTCCCGGAGGAGACAGGACTGGACCTGAGCTTTGACACCAGGAGGGGGTTGGGTGGATGGAAGCGAGGGCTGAGAGCAGAGGGGAGGGACTGCGAGAGGCCTAGCCATATGCCTACTCCAGAACGTTTGCTTTCCTAGAATTACAGGTTCTGATCATGGCCACCTTCAGCCAGCAGGTCTTAGGCCTGGGCCTTTTCATGGCTGCCTGTGATCATGTTCTTTCCTTTAGGGGCATGACTCCAGGAGAAGCAGAAATCCACTTCTTAGAGAACGCCAAGAAGCTTTCCATGTATGGAGTAGACCTGCACCATGCTAAGGTACTGCTGGGCCCTGGAGTCCCCCTAGCATCTGGGGGCGGGGGGTGTCCCTCGTGCTTCAGAGGGCTTGGTGCGCCAGACCCTGTGTTCCCTCCAACCCGAAGCCTTTTATAGTCATATTTCTCATTCCTCAAAGTTCTATCACCCTTTATCTTCCCATAATCTTTATAACTTTTCTATATTCATATTATATTATGAAGCTGTTTGTACCACCACCAGATTGGGAGCATCATGAGGGAAAGACACAGGCTTTATTTATTTATTTATTTTTACCATGATGTAATTTTATTTATTTAGTTTGTAAACCAAGTTTTTTAATACTTAAATTCAATTAATTAACACATAGTGTATTATTAGTTTCAGAGGCAGAGTTCAGTGATTTGTCAGTCTTACACAACACCCAGTGCTCATTACACACGTCTCCTCCTTAATGTCCATCACCCAGTTCCCCCGTCCCTCCACCCCCCTCCCCTCCAGCAACCCTCAGTTTGTTCCCTATGATTAAGAGTCTCTTATGGTTTGTTTCCCTCTCTGATTTCATCTTGTTTTATTTTTCCCTCCCTTCCCCTATGATCCTCCATTTTGTTTCTTAAATTCCACATATGAGTGAGATCATTTGGTAATTGTCTTTCTCTGATTGACTTATTTTGTTCAGCATAATACCCTCTAGTTCAATCCATGTCGTTGCAGATGGCAAGATTTCATTTTTTCTGATGGCTGAGTAGTATTCCGTTGTACATATATACACCGCATCTTTATCCATTCCTCAAGACATAGGCTTCAATTTATTTCTATATCCTTAGCACATAGCACATGGCCTAGCATCACATAGGTGCCACTAAATGTTTGTCGGTGAATCAGTGATTGAGTGATTGACAGAATGATCAAATGAGGAACGGGGTGAGTGGCTGATAAAATGAATGAGTGAATGGCTGAATGACTGTGTGAGATTGGTCAGGGGCCTCCCCAGCATGCAGGCTCTGACCCTGATCCTGAGGGCTCATCAGAAGCAGAGCTCAGGGAGGAGTTTCAGGGTGCGTGGCAGGCATGGACCCCAGGCCTGCCATTCGATGGTGTCTTCTCATGCAGGACTCCGAGGGCATCGACATTATGTTAGGAGTCTGTGCCAATGGCCTGCTCATCTACCGGGACCGGCTGAGAATCAACCGCTTCGCCTGGCCCAAGATTCTCAAGATCTCCTATAAGAGGAGTAACTTTTATATCAAGATCCGGCCTGGGGAGGTGAGCCTGCCTTGGGAACCCCTCCTCCTCACTGGAATTGGCTAGAACGGAGAGAATCCTGACTGCTGAGCCTGGGTTCTTTCCTACTTAGGATACATGGAGAGCGTTGCTAGGGTACTGGGTAAGGCTGGGGCTCTCTACATAGACTTCATGCCTTAGGTATGTGCCTGCACACAGACAACACACACACACACACACACACACACACACATGTGCAGTATACACAGACACACACACGGGAGCACACGTATAAAGATAACCACATACATTCAGGTTACACAGATCAGTGAATACCTGTCCGTCCATGTCAATTTATCTGCTTACATGTAGTATTCAAGTATGTACACATGCCAAAACACACGACCACACACACAAACGTGTATGTCCAGCCTCCACATCTCACCCATCAAAAAGTCCATTGGTTTGTACCTCTGGAATAAATGCAAACCCATCTGCTTCTGTCTTTCTCCATTGTCCCAGCCACCAGCCGCCACCATCTCTCACCTGCATTTCTACAAGGTGCCTCTCCCTGGTCCCCCTGCCTCCATTGTCATGTTAGGCCATTTTTCTCATAACTACTAAGGAGAGCTTAAAAGTCCCCTCCATCAGATCACCATCCCCCATTCCCACTCCTGCCTTAACCCTTTCAAGAGCTGTCTGGCTCGTGGGCTACTGTCCGAACCCCACATGTGGCCGGCTGCGTCTCCCACGTATCTCTGCCCACCCCCCCACACTGTGCTTCAGCCCTTTTGGCCTTCACTGACTTCCTAGGATGAGCCGAGCTCTTTCCTGCCTCCAGCTTTTTGCTTTTGATGTTCCCTCTACCTGAAATTCTCTTCCCTGCCTTCTCACATAGCTGGTTCCTTTCCCATCCTTCAGATGTCTGCCCAGAGATCACCTGTTAGAGGGCATCCCCTGATCACCCTTTCTAAGATCCTGACCCCTGCACCTGCCCAGGTACTCTTGTCACATCACACGTCTCTGTTCATTCCCTTCATGCCCCCTTATCAGTGTCTGAAATGATCTTGTTTACTAATTTATTATCAGAGCACCCCTTCCCCGTCCCCGAGAATCTTCCGTCTTGGTCACCATGGTGTCTCTGTTGCTTAGCACTGGACCTGTCACAGAGTAAGGACTCAGTCCACTTTATTGAATAAGTGAATGAATAAATGAATAAACAGGCCAGAGTTGCACACGCCTGAGAAGAGGTTCAGAAAGGATGGACCAGGGGCGAGAGAGCCCAGGCCTTGCTTCTAACCCACCCTCCTTGGTTTTGCAGTATGAGCAGTTTGAGAGCACAATTGGCTTTAAGCTCCCAAACCACCGGTCAGCCAAGAGACTGTGGAAGGTCTGCATAGAGCACCACACGTTCTTCCGGTGAGCCTGCCCCTGGGGTGGGGTCACGGGGCATGCGCAGAGGCCATGAGTGTACACGTATGCTCCGGGAGGGGGGAAGCAGGAGAAGGAGCTAGGAGGGAGGGACTCCAGGAAAGCCCCCCTCCCCAAGTCTCTCCCTTTGTGGGTCACTTCGAGTTGTAGCTGGTGGGACAGTGGGCTGAAAGGCCAGCTGTGGTCCAGCCTTGGGCCCGGCAACGTAGGTCTAATCCCCCTCCTCCCTCCACTGCAGGCTGGTGTCGCCCGAGCCCCCGCCCAAGGGCTTCCTGGTGATGGGCTCCAAGTTCCGATATAGTGGGAGGACCCAGGCGCAAACCCGCCAGGCCAGCGCCCTCATCGACCGGCCCGCACCCTTCTTCGAGCGTTCCTCCAGCAAACGGTACACCATGTCCCGCAGCCTTGATGGAGGTATGCCCCAAATTGGAGGTGTGAGGGTGGTGTTTAGAGGGAAGTGGGGGCGTACCAGCTTCCCCAGGATGAGCGCTGGGAAAGTGGTGGGCACCTCACCAGTTGATTTGCACCAGGCCCGGTGGCCCAGGAGCACTGTTGCCCCCAGGCCGCTCTCAGTGGTCTCGCCCAGCCTACGGCATCACTCCCACCGGAATGTGACATCGCCCCTGTCTGCACCTCCTGCAACTTCCCTGAGTCGTGGGCTCTTGGGGTCCCGCGTTCAGCCATATGGGTTTCTGGGCACCCCCCCGCCCCTGCCCACGATGCTCAGTGATTCACAGATTTCAGGACAATGGCATAATGGCGACTGCAGTGTGGAGCTGGGGATACCTTTCCTGACTGAGGCTGAGGCGTTTGGTTGTCCCTGGTCATCCTTTGGGTTCCAGTGAACTGATTGACATCCAACCACATGCTGCTCTCCACGGCCCTCATTCCTGCTGGGCTGACAGGTGCCCTTCATATCAACGAGAATTGGCCCTACACTGTCCCGCATCCAGCCAACCAGGGCTTCTCAAAACATGGTCCGCAGAATCACCTGTGCGCTGGTTAAACACAAAGATGCCCAGGCCTGCATCAGCACTCAGGGCCCCGGACTCTCCCCGGACTGTGCACATTGGAGTTAGTAGGAGAGGTTCAGAAGCCACATGGGCATTAGGGAGATTCAGTTAGGCGGATCTGAGTTCAAATCCCAGCCATCATACTCCCCAGCTTCTCTGCAGACCAGGAAGTGGTCCATAAATATCCATACATGAACGGATGGGGGGTCTTGAGCAGCTGAACTTCCCCTCTACCTGTTTGTTCTTCTGCAAAATAAATAATGCCAATTTTGCTGTGTTACAGAGAGAACCAGACATGATAACACCCAGAACAGTTCCTGGCACATAGAAGGACCTTGATAAATTATACCCAATAATAGTTTATTATTGCTTTTAGGTTTGTAGGGGGTAGCTTAAGGAAAGAGGTGGGGACTTGTGTGGGGGAACAGTGGATACTCCCAGAACACATGGGGGTAGGCCTCTAGGCAAGTTAATTCTGCCCAACAAATATTTTCTGAGTGTTAGAATAAGTATGGCCCTTTCCTTTAAGGAGCTCATAGAATGGTAGATTTGTAAGCATTTAAGGTGATTCAAGCCATGGGAGAAGTAGGTACTGTATACAGAGCAGCCATGAGGAGAGAGAGATTAATTCTGTCTAGGAGGGGCAGAAAGGGCTTTGCAGAGAAGGTGACAACTGGACAGGGTTTTGAAGGATACGTAGGAGTTTTCCAGGTGATCAGGAGAGTCTGATACTTTTCCTGCAGTATGAAGGTGAGACCTGTCCCAGGATTCCTTGACTATGTTGAGAAGACATGCAGTTTTGCAAAGGTCCATTTGAGGCTGAGGAAGCTCTTTATTCTCCTTGAGTGGGCACAGGGCTGAGAACTAAGATTTATGCGAAGGGAAAGTACAGTCTCTCTGTTCTCCCCTGCAGCTTCCATTACTATGCCAGGGCCTAAACGAAGCCCAGGTTGTGCAGGGTAGCAAAGATTGGTCTAGAGCTGGCGAGGCTCATCCAGGGAGAAACAGAAGCCTGGACTCTAAACCAGGAGACCTGGGTCTTTGTCCTGATTCACCGAAAGGTCGTCAGTGGGACCTTCCCCCTCTCGGAGTCTCAATTTATCCTTTGTAAAATGAGGATAAGGATTCCCATTCCAGCCATCAACACAGAGGATTGCGTGGATCAAATGAAATAATGTGCATAAAGGGGCACTTTGCGGAGTGAATATATATGAATAGAAAAGCTAATTATTCTCTTTTAATCTAGGCCAATCCTAAGGATAATCTGTGCTCTGGTCATTTTCTGTGTTTTCCAGCCATTTTTTCCCACCAAGACATAATCCATGGGCATAGGCTGGGTTGTGCCCAGTGCCTAGGGTAAAGCCTGTCATTGCATCCCTTTCTCTCCTATTCAGAAAAGCACTTTGGAATGCCAGTGAGTGAGAAGGATGTCCGGAGTCCCCTTGAACTTTGCCTGATTTATAAAGGGGCTAAATTATTTGCAGATCTCAGAACTTTAGCTTTCACTGGTAAAGACTAATCTCACAGTAACTCTGTACTGCTACATAATGGTCAAGCAAGTATTCTGTCACAACCACCGCAACAGAAACATCACACTTGTGGACCAGCATTGACTGAATTGGCTTGCTCTGTGCCGGTCTCTCTTCTAAGTATTTACACGCATGAGCTTATTCTCTCCTCCCCCAGCTGTCTGAAGTAGGTATTGTTTATAGATGAGGAAACTGAGACCCAGAGAGATTGTGTAACTTACCCAAGGTCACACAGCCAAGAAGCGATGGATTTGAGATTTGAACCTGGGCACTGGTGCTGTCGAAGTCAGGAGTGGGGGCCGGGGCTGGGAGGCGGCTCTTTGTGACCTGGACAAGTCTGCCTCCCCTCTCTGTGTGCTGGCTCCTTATCCCCGACGTGTTGGGGCCGCTCCACTCCAACTATGGTTGGGTGGGTGGCAGAACTGGCTCCCTGTCCGTCCCCCTGGGGGAGGTCTCACACGGCCACCCGGCCATCTCTGCCCATTTTAGCGGAGTTCTCCCGCCCGGCCTCGGTTAGTGAGAACCATGACACAGGACCTGACGGTGACAAGCAGGAGGAGGATGGCGAGTCTGGGGGTAGGCGGTCAGAGGCTGAGGAAGGAGAGGTCAGGACCCCCACCAAGATCAAGGAGCTAAAGGTAGGAGCCTGGCTTTCTCATACCCTCTGACCTGGGATCAGGAGGCTGATTCTGAATCTAGCCTCGGCCTTGGCCTTGAGGGGTTCCCAGCTGTGGGGGAGCACCCTCGTTATGGGATGCACCATGGGAAGGACCTTGCCCAATACCTCAGTATCCCCTGGTGGTGGGTGGTAGGCATGCTGCCCACCCTGCACCCATCCCCTCTTTTTGTCCTGCTTCCCCACAGGGGCACTCTGTCCCCTAGAGGACTCCAGCCTCCTCTTGCCCACTCTTAATTTGCCCCTTTGACTGTGATCTTCATCCGCATGGCCCCCTTCCTCCCCAGAGCATGACAGGGTGTCCCTGTGGGTCCTCACAAGGATGAGGTTCGGGTGTGTCGCCTCCTGCTGTCCCACGCATTGCCCACATACCTGTGCACACATCATGAGGGCACACGTGGCCTCAGACTAGCATGCATTCACTCACAGCTGTAGGCCCCTCTTGGAGTAGGGGCATGCATCCAGATGTGCAGGCAGCATGCACGCTCACGGCCGTGGGTGCACACGGGTGTAGGATGGCTCCGTCAGGCGGATGCAGCTGGGCGCACAGGCCCCTGAACACACATGCTGACCGCAGAGGCGTGAATACCCAGAGCCCTCAAGTCCCTTCTACTGAGTGTGACTGTTTGCTGTGCCGCCAGTCCCCCGGCCCCCTTCTTCACCTCCCTGGGCCAGCTCCCTGCCTCCCACCCTGCCCCTTCTGGCTACCTCACTGCCCCACGGGTGGTCCACCAGCTTCCCTGGCCTCTGTTCCCTGGGAGAGAGCCCTCTGGGCTCCCTGCTGCACCGTACTGGGCCAGTGCGGTGCCTCTAATCTGTTTGCTCTACTGACCCTGCTGGTTCCTTCCCTCCTCCCGCATCTCGCTAGCTGGAGCAGGAAACCACGCCGAGACACAAGCAGGAGGTACTGCATGGGACCCGTCACCACTTACCCAGCCATTCAGATCCCCAGCTCATTTGTCACCATCCCATAGTCCACCCCACGCCCATGTCCTGGCACCGTCTCAGCTTCAGCCTTGCCTCTGCTCTCGGCCCTACTCCTCCTCCCCTATGGCCCCTCCTCGCCCCCCCCACCCCCATCTATGGATGAGTTGCACCCGGAATGCACAAGGGCTTTCAGGCCAGAGCTGCAGAGCATTCTCTATGGACACTTCCTGTACAAGGGGGCCTCCTGCTGCGGGAAAGAGGGCAGATGTTGAGTAACTCAGGGTCTCGGCAAAAGGCAAGGAGGGAAAACAGGAGAGAGGGGGCCAGGTCAAATACAGAATGAATCCGGCCCTGAGGATGTCCTCTTAAACAAAGCCGAACCCATGCATGCATCTGCTAGATTCTCCCCACACTCCCTCCAGATGCCAGCAGTGAGACGGACACAGACCTCCAAGGGGAGGACAGCTGATAAAAGGTGTCCACAAATTTGACTGTACTTGACTGAGCAAACTGGATACAGCCGACCCAAGGTTTGGTGGGGATGGGGTAGGGGTAGGAATCATGCTGAAGAACGCTGGGGAGACTTAAAAGTAAAGGAGGCCATATTTTGGGTGTGGAACTGAAAAGAGGAGGATTCATTGAAAGTCCTAAATGAGTAATTAGATCCCCACATCTCTCCAGTCTCCCACAACCAGCTAACATCCCTCTTCTGAACTTTGAAGGACACAGGTGGGAGGAAGGAGACGTGTGCAGGGGTGTGACCGGTGGGGTGGTTAGTACCCTGGGGAAATTGACAGAGCTTCTGCATTCTGAGGTACCAGACCCAGTGGGGGCAGTTCGGGGTGCTACACTGAAAATGGGGAGCAGTTAAGGAAAAATGAATATTTTGATGAAGCAGACCACCCCCTCCCCCGGCCCCAGCCTCCCCTTCTCCCCTCACACTCCCAAAACACTGAGCACGCAGGCTCAGACTCCCAGACGGGAAAATGAATCTATTTTCCCCTCTAGAGAGCTAATTTGCCCAGGAGATTTTTGACATTTTGAGATTTTGACATTAGAGATTTCTGACATTTGATGGTCTCCCAACAAAGTAGCTGGGTTTGATTGAGCCCATTGAAGATGGGCTCTCGGAGCAAGAAGGAAGCCGGGAGACAAGGCCCTTGTTTTAGAGAGCTGTGAACCGAGTGTTAGGGAGGGCAGGGGCCTGCGCAGTGAAAGCAAGTCAGACTGCACACTACTCTCTACAATGCAGGTGTCTTTTCCTTGAAGATAGAAATGCTATAAAGTATAGAAAAAAGATACAGTCAGATTCGGTGGAAGGGAATTTCTAAGGAAAGTCAATTTTATTGTTTTCAGGTACAAATGGTTTTCTAAGTTAAACTAGGCTATCAAAGTATGGTCTGGCCAGGGCTCTGGGGGACCCACTTTAATGAATTAGATAAAGTTGATTCATATCTCATATACTAAATGATTGTCAATTGCTGCTTCTAAGGTAATTGAGAATGCTTGAGAGTAACTTAAGTGACACTTTACACTATTAATTAGCTCTACCTAACTTTTTTATTTCATTGACAGAGCAGAGGCCTGGCTTGAATTACTTCAGCAATCCAAGGTAATGAGGTTTTCTGGGTGAGGAAATGTTTCTGGATCTAGTATGGCCTGACAGGAATCTGATTCGGGTTTAGGAAGCTCTTGACCTCTGGTGGCACTTGCTTTGCGTTTCCATATGGCAGCCCAGCCCTACATGTACCTTGTTGAACACACACTAAACGCTTCCATCAGAAATCTCCCTCTTATAAAGCACAACACACATACTTGAAACAAACATATTTTAGGGCTGATTTGATTAATTAATTCGAAGACCAGAGCTCTGGGCAGTTAGTTGCTTCTCGAAACATTTGATTTTGAATCAACATCTTTGTCAAAACAGACAGGGACAAGGTGGCCTCCTAGAGAAAGATAATGTTCCACTCATTTGCTCTCTAAGGAAGCTTGCCGTATCTTTTTTCCTTGTGTCAGAAACCTATGGAGTGCCTTTTCATAAAGAAATACTGTATCTACTTCCAGAGTGGCTCTTGTCTTCACGGGGCTGATAATCTAAGCAGGAGATCCCATATAGCACAGGGCGGGGATGGAGTGTATGGTTAAGGAGTGACTCAGACAAATCCGGGATGTCTGCATTTGATTCCACTTTATGATTTTTCCTTCTTTTCCCCAAATTCCTTTTTTTTTTTTTTAATCTGCCCCCTTTCCTTGTTCCCAGCTGCTGCGGAGGAGAGACTCTGACCTCACCTCTGTTGGTATCAGGCAGACCCCATTGTGCGGCTTGTCATGTTCCTGGACTGCCCGACTCTGAGACTGTGACAGCTGGGGTGGCCATCGTGGGCAGAGAAGAGATACTCTTATTTCTCTTGACGATGCTGCTTTTCTGTGATGTGGGCAACCCCTGGGCCCCAGCTGCACAGGATAAGAGAGGAGCACCAGTCTGTAGTGGGAAGGCCTAGGCAGGGGTCTCAGGGATGCCCTCACCTCTCGCCCGTCTCCTTGATGGGAACGGAACACGCTGGTTCTGAAAGCCCTTCTAGTCCTTTAGTGGGCTGAGTAGTTTGAACCATGAGTAAAAAGCCCTGGTTGTAATGAGCTTGACATTCTTTTAAAGAATGGCAGGTACGTTTGTCCTTGGTGAAATTTAGAAATCTTTCTCAGAATCCAACCTGCAACCCAGTTGTTAGCACAGGTCAATTAATGAAACACTTAGTGTGCATCTACCATGTGCCAGGCACTGCACTAGCTGGGGGCACAGACATTTAGGGCTCTGCTTATCGGGGCCATTTGGCCCAGGGAGGCATCGAGGTAAGGAAGAAACAACTGGGTCTAACACAACTTTATAATTTTCATTGTTCTTGAAATTTGAGAATAAAATTTCCTTCTGTTAATTCTCTTGTGATAAAGTAAGCTTATATATTAATATGTGCATAATTATTAATCTAAGCACACTTGAATGGTACACTTCAGAATTAAATTATGAAGCACAGTCTTATTAATGCAGAAAGAAAATGGATGGGCATGCTGACGGATTTAGTTACCTTTTATAAACGCTGAATTGGCTTCTTGAATTAAAATAATCATATGTGTCTCTTGAAAAGATATTTACACTGACAGTTTATAAATGCTAACTAAATTCCTTTCAGACCAAGCAGCCGCCAGGTCCCTTAGACTTGGAGGCATTTAATTTAGGAAAGGTGAAGTTTAAGATTAATTAATCATTTTAAGTTATTTTTTTACATTATTTATAATGTTTTAGTTAAGTGCTCCAAAGAACAGCCAAAGTCATCTTTTTGCAGGGAGCATCTTTTTAATGTTTTCTTTTTTTTTTTTTT